AGAGATCATAGTTCATACCTAAGAGGTCTTGGATAGAGTGTCCTACTTTTGCCTTATTCTGAATAGCTTTTTCAAAATTGTTCATTAGGAAAAATATTTCTTTACTATCCTGAATTCAGGCCTCTTATGATTGTCAATTTCTTGTAGGACTGGTAACAGCTTCAGAACTTTGGTGGAGACCACTCCCATCGAATATTCATCTTACTATTTTTAGAGTTGCTTCTGTTATTCCTTTTCACAGGGTCACTGGTTTTTTTGGGGCTGCTAGAGACCTTAGGGGTTAATCTATGATTCATAGGGCCCTTGGGGTAACGACCTTAAGGTGTGGGGAGTCTTTCTGAACTATGTTTTCAAATTCAAGATTAGTACTCAGATCTTGAGCTGAGTTATCAAGAACATCAAATCTTGATCCTAGTAGTACATCTTTCTTTTTACTCATACTCAAAAAGTTGCCAGCCAAAGGTTAGAAACTAGATTTCTTCCTAAGGGGTTTCTTTTGCTAGCATCCAAGGCCCAAATTGTTCCTTATCTTGGGTGGGCTTATTATTATCATCAGACATTACCAACTCCTTACCCTGTACATGGTTATTACTTATACTTCCTCCCTGTATTTCTGTAACAATATTGGGATTATCCTTAGGATTCTAAACTAAAGGATTATGAACAATAAAATCAACATATTTCTCCTGTCTATGCCCATACCTTGCACAATTAAAGCACATAAGATGAAGTCCCTCATACTCAACCCTAAACTCATGACCTAAGATTTTAAAAGCTGGAACCAGTTGTTTCTTGAGGTCTATTTCAATGAAAACTATAGCAAACTTGCTGAAATTAGTTGTTTCTTGAGGTCTATTTCAATGCAAATTCTAGCAAACTTGCCCTTAAATAACAGAGGTGTGGGGATCAACTTTCAACATCGATCCCAGGCAGAAACCAATTTGCCACAAGAATTTATTATTGTAGAGTTCTAAAAGAAAATTAGGAATCCTCACCCAAATAACAATCTTTCTAAGGTTATATTCCATGCCTAAAAAGAGGTTGCCACTTCTGAACTAGCAAATAATGATCTAGAATTAGCTATGGCCCTTCAAAAAGAGCATATCTATAATCCCTTATACTTTTAAACTTAACAAGGACGAAGTCATTGCTTAAGTCTAGGATGTTTAGTGAGCCATTTTCTCCCCAAATAGCACCTAGTTTCTGGTTCAAGAAATTAAAACTAAAAGTTTAACTATGAGCATAAACTTCCAAGAGGAACATCATTCTTCATAATCATCTATGGGAATCTTTAGAATAGGACACATGTTTTGGATTTTATCAGAAATTTCATCACAATCATCAATTTCAGGAACAATTTTTAAATCATCCTAAACAGTTTTAACAAAATCCTTATCATTTAAAACAAGATCCATCTTATTAGACTTTAAGACTTTGTCTTTATATGAACAAAACCTAGAAAGATTTGGTTCAAAACACACCTATGTCACTGATGGCTCAACAGGCTTCATCTCCTCTTACGGGTTAATGATCTATACCTCCATTGGAGTTTCTTCACCCGTTTTGACTTTCTTAGTGCTTCGATCTAACAAGTTGTTCTCCTCTTTGGATCTCTTCTCAAGCTAGAGTCACTCCATGCCTTCTGCCTCCATTGGAGCCGTGAGTACGAAGTCTGAATTTTAACCTTACTGCTTTGAAAAAACTTTCCTTGCACACTAATCAGGTTACCATCGCTCTCGAAAGTTAGGGTAAGAAACCCTAGCAGCACCTCCAAACCCTCTTTTCTTGAAAGGAAAAAATGAAATCTTAGAGCTCAAGAAAACCTAATGTTTTACGTGATTGGCCATACACAAGTCACTTAATCTCGACGATCCTCAGGTGTTTATTTGGTGCATTATTTTTGTAATTTAATACATTTAATATTATATTTAGTGAGATTTTGATACAAAGTTAGATGACGGGGATATAAAAATTCCTTACGCTTACAATATTATAAATTTAACTCTCATACTTAAAGATTAAGATAAAAAAAAAATTAATGTTGAGAAGTTTTAAATAACTAAAAATTGCTATTTCGAGTTATGTTTAAATCAGTTATTTTAATTTTATTAAATTTGTCTTTTTTTGTTTTCAAATTTCGAACCCTCATTTTTTTACTTCTTTTAGTTCGATTCATATTTGGACTTGTATTTAATCCATTGCTGTTCGGACTTATACTGTGTTACTTTTTCTAATTTTTTTTGGGTCAAAATTTCTATTTTCTCTGACCGTATAAAGAATTAAGAAAAATCACACTGTTCATTTTCTGGTTATGGCCCGGTCAATTTTGTTTTCCCTGTACTTTCCTTTTTCGGTGGTTCAACGGAAAACCGCCAATGGACTCAGGCTTGGCCCAACTTACATGTAGGCCTAAAGAAAATTTCAAAATAAACTTTTTTATTTATATTTTGTTGACCCAAAAAATAAAATTTTTAAAATTAATTAAATGACATGCTAATATTATAATTATTTTACTTGAAATTTATATTTTAGAAAATTTTAAGAAATAAAATTTTATATTAAATTATTAAGACAATATTTCCGTTGAGTAATATTTTAGTAATTTTAGGCTTATACAATTTATTCATGCTAAAATAACGTACATTATTTATATTATTTCGTAAGTATTATATTTTTAACAGGTAATTAACATTAATGAAAATTTATAAGTTGGTGGCCTTTTTATTTTAACATTTATAAATTTTAATAATAGTATATATTTTAATTAAGATTAATAGAAATTTAAATAATAAGATAAATAAAGTAGTTATTAATACAGACAAAAGTATGTCACAATAAAACGATGAATTTTAAAAAAAAAATAAAAAATATTTATTTTTTATATTGTTTTTATGTTAATTAATATCTCTGGTCTAAATCAAAAAAATCACCTTACCCTTTCTTGGTATTAATGTATTTACTCTTTTTTATTTTTTTACTTTATTACTAATTTATTATGAAAAGTGTATTTAATGCATGTAAAAAACTTAATTTGTTAATTAATTACAATATATGATATGTATAACTTTTAAATTATTTATTATAAAGGTTATTCATTCTTGCTAATAAATTCATCAATGATTAAATGACAGCTATTTATACTTTCTAATTAAATTATTACAAATAAACAATAAAAGAAGACTAAAATTGAGTATATGCACGAAACCAAATTTTTTTTTTCACCGATTTCTTCGTTTGAAAGATAACTCATTTGATTTGACTTCTGGATGCATACTCAGAATTCTCCCTATGTACTGTTGTCGGGTTATGCTGTTTAGGGAGTGACAGGGTAAAGTACGTACAGAGATATTTTGAAACTTAGGTAAGGCTTTGAGAGAAATCTGTAAAGGTTCAAATTTGTGTGTTTCTCTGGTAGTAAGGGTTGTCCTAATATTTATTTTAGTTGGGGGCTTTAGTAAATTATTTGTTGCCATCTTTCTTGGAATAAAATATAGTGTTCAAGTTCTCAATTTCCGCTTAACATGTAATCAGGGACTAGATCCATGAAGCAATTTTAAGATTTTCATAATTGCCTTATAACTGTGGAGTGGATCAGGTATGAGTCTGAAATGCTTGTACCGTGGCTTAACACTTAACCTTGGGGGAAAATGTCAATGTTGTTTCTTTAAGTTAGCCATAAGTTTTAATGGTTACTTAGGCTCCATCATCCTTTACAATATATGACGATTTATTATGAAATAAAAATTAAACTGTTAGTATATATAAATAAAGTTATTATTAATAGATAATACATTGTACTAACATTTGATATATCGTATTGTTAATGCATCGTATTATTAGAATGGTTGGTTAAGGCTATGGGTTTCATCCAAGGATCTCAATCATTGCGAAGCACTCTCACACCCTAACATTTATGATCGTTCTTGATAGCTCGACAATCCTGTACTATTTCTTGATATCTCAATTTGGGCATGATCTTGAATACGTCCATAGATACTTGGTTTGATGAGGTGTGTTAAAGTTCTGTAGAAATTGTTTTGCCTCCTTGCTCTGATTCCTCCACATCATGGAAGGGTTGGTATTGGGTGGTAAGGTTCTCTTGTGAAGAAGTCCTTCACACCATTTATTATCTTCACATTGTTAATTGCACGTTACCATCTCATTGTACCTGATGGTGGTAAGAATTAATGGGTGTCTAAGTTTCCCAGGGAAGACATCAGTGACTTGATCCAACTTCTAAACGAATTTCTGAAAGGTCTCCCTTTGAGTTACCGAAGGCTGCTATAGCGGTATTGTGAGGGAAAGCACGAAGGATCAAAATTGTGTGCAACTCTAGTAATCTGGTTTGTCTTTACACACACACACAAACACAAAACATTAGTTACCTTGAATAAGAGATTCATTTTTTTTTATATATTTATTTGTTGGTAAGATTTTTATATTAAGTAAAGTGTTTCAAGGACAAGTTGTTTGATACTTGATAAATTAAGAGAAGGATGATTGGACTTCATTGAAATTGATAATAATTAAATTAAGTTCGTTAAATTCTTATCATAAAGTTCTCTAAGTAATAACACTTGGATATTTTTTTCTAATAATAAACAACCTCTATCAAACGAGTATAGCAGAATTTTAAATAAGCACCTACTAATCATTATTTTTTTTAGAACGTAAGGTAGGAGAGATTCCCAAAGTTTCAAAATCTTAGTTTGCCCGAGCAATATGAGACCCTTGGAACGACAAAAAAAACGTGTATTTTTCCATTGCTTTAAAACTGAGTACGTATACACATAATATGAATATCTATTACACAAATAAATTGATAGCCCTAAATATACGATAACAAGTATACAAATAATAATCATAACCGTATCATGAAACACATTATTGGCTACTAATATTGTCTACTCATCAAAGTTCAAACATTATGATAACCATGGTAAACCTGCCGGAATAATTATAATGATCCACTTCGATTCATAACATTGGAGTTCAATTAGCTACCCAAGACGGAAGAAATCAGAATATCGCTCACCAACATTATTATCCAATGGCACACCAAGAGAACACTGAACAGGTGATCTTCTCGCTGATCTATTCCAACCGTTATTGACGAGACGACCAGGTTGCGTCAAAGGGAATCCACATTGTTCCTCGTTACCAAACCTCTCATAATGCACATGCCCCCTTCCAAGTCCACTTCCCACGCTTCTCGTCCTATAACTCCACGTGCCACTCCTCATTCTCGTAAAACACACGCAACTATTCGCACGCTTCAGCGTCGAGTTCACCATCTGGCTTCGAACCTCATCCGGTAACCTCAGAGTAAACCTTTCAAGATTCTCCCCAGGAAGCACCAATTGACCCATCGAGTTTGACCGTGGAAACAAGAGGGAAGATAAGAACCCGGTTGATCTCGACCGTGATGGACGACACTGATTCATTGCGCGAATCCTACGAAGGAAGTCCACGTCATTGTCATTGTCTCTCTTATGGTCCTCAACAAGAGTCTCATGTTCATGCTCGTGATCGTGCATGGACAACGTCGGAGGCGCGATCATGTTTATGTTTATGTTGACGTCGTTGTCTTCGGGTGTTGGAACGAGGTTGGCACGACAAACCGGGCAAGTGGAGTGGGAGGCTAACCAAGCATCGATGCAAACGACGTGGTACACGTGGCAGCATTTGGGGAGCATGCGGAGGGTTTCATCGTCTTGGAACTCGTTCAAGCAAACGGCGCACGCTAACGTGTCTTTTCCGGTTTTGAGACCCTTCACATCTGAGTAGAGGAACGTTGGGAAAGTGTCGATGATTTCTTGGTTAAGACCGTTGGGTTCCGTCCGCGACCGGTTACCGCTTCCGCCGGTAGGAAGAGTGAGGTCGAGTCTGGCTTGTGTTTGGGCCTGCCGGTCAGTGCATTTACGAGAGAAGAGAGAAAGAAGCCCTGAGATGAGGAACATGACGGCAACAATGGCCATGATGGTTGCTGCGGATTTGTTACTGTCGGGGTCCACTGTTGGTGTCACCGGTTGAGCTGTTACCGAAGGTGAGATTTGAATGAGAAGAAGGTTTAATAAAGCAAGCCATGTATGGACTTGGTCGAACCTGTGGAGCCTTAGAGGACTCTCCTTTTGCATGCTTATTTGATTGATCATAATATATGTTTGCATGCATGTGAAGTTTTTTATTCCTTGAAGCTAAAAGATGAATGCTGTAGCAGTAGTTAACATTGAAGCACTCGCTTGATTCACATTGGAAGCAAAGGGACCTGAGTTGTGTGCTTGCGTGATACTACACCTGATTCTATGTGCCTTTGTTAAGTAATTATTAATCGCTTGGAGCAATCATCAAAGAAAGAAAGAAGGTCCGTGTGTAATTGAGAGTGTGGTTGTTATAATTGTATTTGTGTGCTCTGTTCTGTTAACACCGTTTTAAGCATTCAAGAGGCCAGTTGCAAATAAGATATAAAATAAAATAAATAGGATAAAAGTAAAATCTTTTTGAACTTCTTCATTCTCTAAAAATCTTAGTTGGTATGAATGTTTGGTTTACGTCTTTACGGAACGTAGTAAAACGGGGTCATCAACTTTTTTATGTAAATGACTTCCAATTTCTCTACCATCGCGTGTGTTGTAATGCAGAAACATCAAAAGATAGATTTAAATTCGTCAAATTTCGTGAGATATCTGACTAAATAGCAAGTCTTCTATATATATATTTATAATATTTTATTTTGTCTATTTTTTACACAAAAATTTCTATAAGATAAAATTTACACTAAAAAATGATGAATCAATTAAATAAACGTATATCATACTCTGATAGTTAAACAAATACTAAAAATAAGATTTTTTTTTTTAAAAGTTATCATATTTTGTAGTAAAAGCAGAAGGTTTTGCTAAAGAAGCTATTTATTATACATTTATAATTTAAATATAATAAATATTCTTTTAAAATAAATATTTACCAGTTTTAGTTATTTTTCTTGTGTGTTCAATGGGTGGTTTTTTTAGAAATCGTGGGCCTTTGCTAAACAAATACTGGCAACCAAGTAACATTCATTTGAAATTTAGAACTTTGTATTGTTTTTTTAAAAGGTTAATTTCTCATGAGTTTGGGAAGGCAAGAAGATTTGGCCCCTCCATGTTGTGCATGGCCAAAAGATAACCGTGTTGCTTGTTTGTGTGGTGAAGTGTTAATGACACAAAGCTAAGCCCAAAGGCAAGCATAGGAAACGTCAACATCAAATTTATATATTTGGATAGCAGACAACAAAATTTTTTCATTAAAAGTACTATCTTTTAGTTTTCAGAAACAAATTTATTTATGAGAAAAATGTTATTTGTATAATAATTTTGTACATATTTTTTTATAAATTAAAGAACGATAGAAAGAAAAGGGAGAAATGAAATGATAAGATTGGCACTATGATGGGGAGAGACAGTGAATACAATGACTTTATTTTTCGAATATAAAAAAAAATATTAACGTAAATTTTGTCTGTCTTGGTAAAATATTATATGGTTAACTATATTTTATTATTTTTAATATTTATATTTTAACGAAATGTAATTAGTAGTTGTGAAAAAAAAATCGAGTGTCTTATAAATTAAGTACGTTTTATCTCGTTTATTGATTTGAATGTACAAAAAATTTATCAATGGTACAAAAAATTAACTCATGACAACTCTTTAACTAATCACCTTATCATCAAAATTTTAAATGCTGAATTTAAAATTATGAAGATTTAAAAAAGGTAAATAAATACTCAAACTAAAATTTTGTAAAAATATATATAAGCTGATATCTCATATGCTTATAATTAAGAATTATATCTAAAAAATTAAAGGAATTCAATTATGTATAAATAGTGACAAACTTTCATAATTGCTAATTGATTAGGCTTGTACCGTGTATTTGGTCGAGGGGTTATTAGCTTTTGCACTTTTAGGTCAAGCCATCAAGAAATTATATGATGCCCTCAAATTATTCTATGTTTATATCTTGATTAATTTTTATACGACTAAGTTATAATAATTATTTTTTCATGAATTAAAAAGTTTCGCGACATATCACAAACATGTGATCAAATTACCTAATATATTTTTTTAACTATCACAATTAATATTCTTCATATTTTATTTTGGACCAAAATATAAATCTCCCATTATTTTTAAAAGATTACTCATTGCACCATTATACCCCAAAAAATATCTTCATTATAATTTTATTTCCTTTTCTATTATCTATATTTTTTTAAGTATATATCATTAATAATTAAAATATATATTTGTGGTAAATCATGATAAGAATGTATTTAGAAGTTATTATGTGAGTGTTTATTTTATAATATTGTTAATATCTTTTTATTTAACTCCATAACTGTTTAATTTAATTTGTAATAAAATAATGAATTTTACCTTTAATTATGAATTTTGATGTTTTATCTTTTTGGTTTATGGCTTTTGTAAATTAAACTTAAATATTAACTATAAATATTATACTGTACACAACAACAATAATAATAATTGTTGTTGTTTTTAATGCATGACTAATTTTCTATAAGTTTGATTCTCTCATTTTTATTATTTTATTATACTTATATTTATTTAAATCAGAATATTGTGTGATTTAATAGTAGTTGGTATCAGAGCCTAATCAGGTTCTAATTTTAAAAGGGGAGAGATAAGATTATTTTGTATAAGTTTTATTACTAGCGGTTCAAAATAAAAGTTTTTAACTCAGATGTAGTAGTGAAAACTGTTTAGACGTTAATAAGCCTTGATAAGTAAGTTCTGTGTATGGCTGTAAAACCATTGATCAGTTAGAGTGTTCTCATCATACTAGAAGAAAAATATTAAAAATGGCTAATCTATTAAGGACCATAAGTAGATTAAATGGACAGAATAATCAAAGTAAAGAGAAAAATGTCTGAGGACAAAGCCTCAACATCATGAACAATACCACAACAAATTACAATAAATGATTTTGAAAGATCTTTACATAATTGGGTAATTCCAAAAGTTAAAGAAAAAGATGTTTAACAACAAAAGTCCTTTTGGTCTTTAAATAATCATGAACAAATTCATAAAGTAGAATACTCTTGCCCGAAAACTCAAAACAAAAAGGATGTCCAATTACTAAAAGATTAACTATTACAAAAACATAAAAAAGATGGATTCAATTTTATTCATTTTGGATTAATTCAGTTAGCAATTAAACCAAACTACAAGATAAGTGTAGATTACCAGTATTAATACTTTTAAGAGACATAAAATTATTAAAAATAAAAGACTATAATAGTTGCTTTAGAGACAAATTTACAAAATGAACTTGATTTCTTTAATTATTTTTCAAATTTTTCTATGAGCCTTAATAACGAAAATATTGCAAAAGGTATTAGAATATTTACAAAATTCCCAAACAATATAGTTGATAATTCCTATGATCCTTTTCATTTAATTTATATAGTATATTATAAAATTACAAAATTAAATTATGAATCTCAAGCTAGAAGAGAAACACTTATTCATGAAACAACAATAATAGAGGCTAATCTAAATAGAAGCATGGTACAAATACCTAAAAAATTAAGACATGATGAGTTAATAATTCCTGAAGAATGGATTTTGGAAGAATAAAGATAGTCTAAAAAATGTTACAATACTGAAATAAGGGATATTATAGAAAAATTTGATGGAAAAGTAAGATTAAGAATGAATAGATCTTCCTCTATAAGAATACAAAATTCCCATGCAATAAGAGAACTTTCAAGATATTCAATAGATAATTCGACTATAAATATAGATTTAAGAGGTATAGATAATACTATTAGGTCAGGAATATCAATACCACAATGTGAATCTGTTTTACAAGAAAATAATAGTGAAGGTAATTATAGTCCTACAACATCTCAAGTATTAAATACCTTAACTAAAGAAAATCCTCTTATAGTAGATAAAAAATGGATAAAAGAAGAAATAGATGCAGAATATAATCAAGAAATAAACGATTGGTTTTTATCAAAATTTACTAAAAATGAATGAATAAAAATAAGAACAACCTTTTATAAATATTTAGAAGAAATAGAAATAAGTATACATTTCTTTCCTTGGTTTGAACAATATTGCTTAAAAGAAAACATAGAATATCCTAGTGCAAAACAAATAAATCCCTTAAATAAAATAACTACATAATGGAAAACAACACCAGAGAAAATAATAGAATCAGAATATCTTCCACTAGAACAAATTGAAGTTAAAATAAAAAATAAAGAAGTAGAAGCTAGTCCATATAAAAAGATAAATTCATTAGACAAAATAGTAGAAAAACTAATATCAATAAAATACATCAAAAACTTAATTATTCTAACACAGTATTAAAGGTAATGACAAAATATTTAACTAGGTTATATAATAAAGAACTAACAAATAGCAACTCAAATACTAATTTTAAAAAATCAAGTTATTCCAAAAAACCTATGTATAAATTAACAACAAGATCACTAGAAACTATGAACGAAATTGAAAAAAAAAAAAGGAATAGAATTATATATAGAAGAGTTAAAAGAAAGAATTACAAGGTTAAGTATAGAAAAACCCTTTATAAATACTATAGAAACTATCCCAAAAGTAAATAAAATAAAATCTAATAATAATTATCCAAAGATAAAACTATATTATAATAGACCCACATTACTAGATGTATTATTAAAATAAAGACTTAATTTTGTACAAAACTCATGGTGGAAATGACATAGTAGAATAGAATTTAGATGGTTTAAGTGACCAAGCAATACTAGATTTAACACAACAAATGATTATGGCAGCAACTGCATACAAACTTAAAAAATTATCAGATAAAGTAGTCGCTGAAGCTTTAGTACAAGGCTTCATAGACAGTTAAGAGGATGATGTGATCACTATGTAACTCTTGATGATAAATATTTTATATTATCACATGTTAAACAAGAAAATAGTGAACAAGATGCAGTAGTAACTTTAATATATTCTACAATACAAAATTTTATAGGAGACCCTACATTATTTAAAGAAAGAGCGGGAATACAATTAGCAAATTTAATATACTCAACAATGTCAGATTATGAATGGTATAAAGATATGTTCTTTTCTAAAGTAATGATCACAGAAGATGC